AAAATAAACTTTAAAAAATTAAATAGTTTAGAGGAAAATCATATAAATTCAGAAAGATCCATTCTTGTTTTCCCCTTATTAAAATTTTATCTTATTCTAAGACAAAATGTGTTCTCCATTTTTCAGAAGAATAAGCTTAGTAAAATTGTTTTTCTATAAGGAATTTACCTTTTCAAGATACAGTATTTTATTGGTTTGTTTAGTGAATTTTAATTAAAATTCCCCTTAAATTTGCACTAGGTGAAGGGGCAAATTCAAATTCATTGATGGTAATTTTTTTGGCAGATGTCATATTACCCAAAACCAGTTCTGTATAGCATCGATTCAGGAGTTCTATAAGATCAGTCTTCTCTTTTCCATATGGTAACTATATAAGTATTTAAAGATTATCATCATGTGTTCCACTTAACTTTTTCTTAACTTCAAAATACTCCCTGTTCCTTTAATTCCATATATAGTATGGTTTCCAGATCCTTCATTTACCAGTGTTCTTCTCAAAATGGAACCCAGAATTGAATGTAGTGTTATGTATTGTGACCAGATAGAATACAGTGGGATTTGCCTCCCTCATTTGGTCATATTTAGCATTTGAGAAATAGGGCATACAACACAAAGAGTGTTTCTTTTTAGTAGCTGTTACTTCATTGACCCATATCAAACTTGGGCTTTTTAAAGAAATGTACCTTTTATTTAAAATCTGGGCCTTCGTCTTATTTTTGGACAGTTGATACATGTACCTAAGACTAAGAACTTTGTATTTACATTTGCTTAATTTCTTCTTGTTGATTTTGACTCATCATTAAGTCTGTCTTTCAGTTTGGCTTCAGATTTAGTGTAAATCATATTAGCCAGAGTTCCATTTAATGTTATCTTTAGATTTGAAAGACATGTCTTTTTAATGTCTTAGATATTTTCCTTCATTTTTCATGAATAAAGTCTATTCACATGCTCACTGTAGCCTCTCCTTCTGATTGATCTTGCTCAAAGACTTACTGCTTGTTAAGATTAGTGGGTCAGCTGTCCACAAATTTTAACAGTATTCTCATTTAACTCACAGTTCAGTTTTGTCTTATCAGACTACTTCTCAGGGTCGTTGTCTTCCATATACATTCATTAAATATTGGTTCTAAGGTTTCACTCTTTGGTCAGTCTTTTTCTGTTCTTTGTGGTTCTTTGTTCTTTATACTGGTGTCTATAGTTACAACCTCTCAAATCTATGTTTCCAGTTAATTTTTGTTTTAAACTTTAAGCTTCATGAATCCCAACTGCATCACCATACAGCTGTTCATTCACTAAATCCTGTTTTTTATATTTATCTTTTCCTCTCCAGTCTTATGACCACTACTATAGAATAGAGCCTCATCATTTCTCATCCATCTTATAGCTTGTTTCCTAACTGGTTCCTCTGTGTCCCTTTTACACCCTTACAATTCACAATGCAACCTGACTTAGAGGTATCTAAAACATAAATTTGGTTGTGCCATTCCCACTAGTTTCAAGATAAAGTTTAAATTCCTCAGCTTCACTTATAAGGTCCTTCTTAAATTGACCACAACCCACCTGCCTTGGATGGACAGACTAAGAAGATGCTATTTCTAATTCAAATATTTAAGATTAATATTTCCAAGAATATTTTTGAAGGTTGCATGTAAAGTAAATTGAATTTTAGGCAGATTTACTAGAAATTTGTTATGACTGAAATTTTGTTATAATTAATGAAATCTAGAATCAATGGCAATTTGTTGTCTTTGTAGACATTACTGAACGTGCTGGAGAATTTTTTCTGGAGAAATTTCTGAAAAGTCTCATTTAAATTGTATATTAAGTCTCATTGACTTATTTAGAGCATACTTTATATTCATTTTTAATTCTCTTCAATTGGTAGTGTTACTTGGCATATAAAATCTAGTAAGCTATAATTAAACTTTTTAAAAAGAAATAAAAAATAAACGTCTTTTTACCAGAAATAGGCTTTTTAGTTTTTAGCAGTGTAGTCCGAATCTACGGTATAGTTTGAATGAAGAAAAGAACTGAGCATTTACTTATCAAGGAAGAGAAGAACAGATTCCTGCCAGAAATACTGGTTCTAAGGCATACTAGGAAGCAGAAGTGATAGATGAGGATATATTAAAGTAAATAAACACAACTGCTTAAAAGCCATTTTATAAGGTCTTTAAAAATAATTACACATATTGCATAATGGAATTTTCAAAGTGCTTTAACCTAGACATTTCATTTTATTAAATGAAGTAATAATTGATGAAATGTAAAGAGGTTGAGACCTCACCAACATCATATGATTAGTTTGGGGCACAATTGGTATTAAAATGTAGTTTTTTGACTCCTAGTTTGGTACTGTTAACCAAATTAACAGGAATTGCTGCTGAAATGGAGATAGCATGGGAAAACAAAACCTCAGTGTATCAACACAGACTCCTTTTTAGCACATTACTACTAATAATGTAGCCTTTAGAATTGTGTTTCGTATAAAAATATCATGAGTGCAGTTAGAGGTATCAGAATGCATCAGTAGAATAGGGAAGTGGAAGGTCCTGAATCTGGAGGATTTCCTATATTCACAAACACTGATACAGCCAAATTCTTAGGTTAACCATGTCACTTCCTTATAGCTCACACAGACATGGAAAAGAAAAGCCCTAAGAGAAACCTGCTCAACCAAGAGTTAAGCTCACTCTTCCAGTGCTGAAACTGCTGCCACCTCTTTCTTCTCATTTAGCTTTAGCCATTGCCACCTGATGATAGTATTTGTGGGGGCTTGATTGACAGTGAGAAGGTTCCATGTCTTCTGCAAAATCAGCAAATGCTGTGGAATGTCGAGGGACTGCAAAGCAACAGGTACTGGCAGGTGGCTGTTAAGGAAGCTTTGATGTCTGGTAACTGTGAGAAAGCCCCAATCAAGAGTGGTATGGGGTCGCCTGAGTGGCTCAGTCAATTAAGCATCTGACCCTTGATTTCGGCTCAGGTCATGATCTTGGGGTCCTGGTATTGAGCCCTATGGCTCTGCACTCATTGAGTCTGCTTTGGGATTCTCTCTCTTTCCATCTGCCTCTTCCCCGAAGCACATGTTCTTTGTCTTAAATAATCTTTTTTAAAAAGAATGTATAGCTATACAGTTTGACAAACTGTAGATTCTGTCATCCTCTGGTTCTAATTATTAACAGGCACAGGAATGAATGGAATCCTCATTCAGGAACATAATAAGATTCACACTTCTAGCACTGAGATTGGAAAAAAAAAAAAAACACAAGCATGAGCAAGCTAGTAGGATCACAATCCACTGTTCAAGGCCGGAGTAATGGTAATAGAGGACTTGGGAATTCAAAGGACAGATCCAATATTAGTATAAAATGTCCAGATACAGGTCACAAATCACCTAGGAAATTTCAGTGTGTCCTGGAGAAAAATGTAAAATGTTGCCTTTTTGTTGGTTGTTGCTAGGCAAGAAAAAACCTGGTACTTTGAAAAAGGTAAAGAGAAACAGCAGTGGGATAATTTTTAGTATCTTTGTGTAGGCCTTTAACTTGTATTTTCTTAGAGAAATAGTATTAAGCACAGATAGTGGTAATTGTCAATAAGGACTACTTTTGTATAGTGCTTTTATAATTTCCCAAGCACTTTGCTATACATTTGATGTACTAGAAACTGTGTGGATAGGGCAGGAATTAAATCTATTCATTCAACAAATATTGAATGTCAGGCAGTGTTCTCACTGCGTAGGATACATTAAAGAACATGGCAGAGTCCTTTTCCTAATAGGGTTTCTATTCTGGCAAGACAATAAGCAAAGCAAAAACAATGGGAGTTCCTAAATTCTATAGTCTGTAGCAGGTGGTAAGTTATGCAATAAGAACAGCTTAAGGACAGGTTGATGGGCAGTGGGGTAGAGCATGTGGAGTAAGGCAGTTGAAATAGGTGAGATAGTGAGAAGACAATTAGCTGATTTGAAGAAGCTTAGGCAGTGAGACATGTGAATACCTAGGGTGAGAATAGTTTAGGCAGATTTCAGCCAGTACAGAGGTCTTAAGGTGGCTCCTGGGTGTCTGATGGCTTCAAAGAACATAAGAAGGCCAGTGAGTCTGCCGCAGAGTGGAGTGAGGGAGGAAGTGTTGTAGAATCTTTGCTTAAAGATAACCTCAGAGGGGCGCCTGGGTGGCTCAGTGGGTTAAGCCTCTGCCTTCGGCTCAGGTCATGATCTCAGGGTTCTGGGATCGAGCCCCGCATCGGGCTCTCTGCTCAGCAGGGAGCCTGCCTCCTCCTCTCTCTCTGCCTGCCTCTCTACCTACTTGTGATCTCTATCTGTCAAATTAAAAAAAAAAAGAAAAAAAAGACAACCTCAGATTCTGGTGCCTGGGTGGCTTAGTCGGTTAAGCATCTGACTCTAGATTTCTGCTCAGGTCATGATCTCAAGTTTGTGAGATCAAGCTCCCTGTCGGGCTCTGCTCTGGGCATGGAGCCTGGTTAAGATTCCTCTCCCTCTCCTTCTGCTTCTCACCTCTCTTATCCTACCCACTATCCCTCATTAAAAAATAAATAAAACAAATAAAAGACCTAACCAAAGTCTAGTTAAGGTAGAACTCAAAACCATTTATAGTGACTATAGATTCTTTGTGCCCTACAGTTGGCTTCATTGAAAATTCTCTATTTCCAGAAGGGGTGGGTTAAAAAAAGGGAAATAGTGACTGATGAATAATCTTTATTATAATTTATATTTTATTCTTCAACACAAACCATCTTTATTAAATAAATCTCAGCTAGCCTGAGTTTATTTTCACAGTTTTTGCTAAAGGAGAAATGCAGCCTTGGCACAGTTTGATTTTATTCTTTACTGTGTTTTAAGTTATTAATTAACTTGAAACATAACCTTTGATTTTGCTTTCAGGAATAACATACTAAACATGGGACGATTTAACACTAATTCAAAAGATCTTAATTTATATTTATAATTTCATTACACTTTTTTCTAATCCTTTCTTTTAAAGATATGGGCATACTGCTGGAGAAGCTACACATGATGCAGTAGATTCTGCCATCAATGTTGGTGTAACTGCCTATAATATTGACAACATTGGTATCAAAGCAATGGTGAAGAAAACTGCAAAAGAAACGGGACAAACACTCCTTGAAGACTATAAAATAGTTGATAATTCTAAGGGAAGAAATCAAGAAGGAAGAGCAAACGTAAACATGAAAAGGGAGAAGGGTGAGGAGACAAAGGAACTAGAGAAGAGTGAGGCAAAGAAGAAAGAGAAATGATGGAAGTGCTATGAATCACCTATACCAAAGCCTTACAAGGTGGATACATTTTTGTTAAATAGGCAAATGTGGAATTCCCCACAGATTAACCAGTGTTTTAAAAATGTATTCATTCCTATGAAGTGACTATTTCATAAGCTTTATAGCATGTCTTCTATTTACAAGGAAAAGAATCAGTATTCTTGCATATGGCCTTTAGAATATAGGGTTATATTCTCATTATTTTTTCTAAATGTGGCTGAAATATTTTTGCAGTTAAAATAAAATTAATAATACATGTGCTATAAACCTCATTAAACCTGATGTTAAACTATTTTTGTATTTGCTGTCTTTCAAAAAGCAAGATAGGAAATTATATATTTACATAAAATTTGGCATTTAGTAACGTTAGCTCTAGTTGTACTTGAAAGAATGACTTAAAATATTGTCTGCTGGCTTTGCACTAATTGTGGATTTTTTTTCCCCTAGGTACTTATTTTCAGTGTGTAAGCTAAAAATAACTATAATCCTAAACTAAAAGAATTCTCAGATAACATTTAAAAGACTTTTTTAATCATGAAAAATAAGATGAGGTTCTATAAAATTATTTGGTAGCTTATATCTTCGTTAGGAAGGGGGATGGTCTTTCTGATTTAGAATGAATACAAAGTTTTTTTTTTTAATCTTCTAGAGGTAGACTGGTATTGATCTACTAGGAGCCTAGGAAGTTTTGGTATATGATTGATATTGTATTAAAATTTGTGAATATCATCACCTTAATTGGACAAAAAAGTACTTTAAGAAATTATTTTACCATATCTACTTCTTTAAGTTACTCCAAGAGGCTAAATTTGTATTAAAAATATGAACAGAATTTTTTGGATGGTAAATGTATTTTTATTTTGGGATTTAGTCATTGGAATTTTTATGTTAAAGCCAATAAATTATTAGAAAAGCTTCTATTTATAATCATGGTTAAGAATGTGAAGAATTCAGGCTTAATCCATGGTGGGTGAGGTATAATGGTTTCCACTCTGGCAGAAGACAGGACATTCACACACCTATAAGGTACAAATACATAAGTAAATACCTAATGACATTTTATTTTTGTTTACTGATTATAAGTGATTGGTATTGATTTTCATATCTATTGTCCATTCTGATATTTCTGGCTACTTTAGTTTAATGGCTACTTAGTTTGTTAGACCTTATTTGAAACTGTCTTAAAAACACCCTTTATGAATAAACTGTTTCTGAATTACTTGGCCTCAAATGTATGCACAGGATTGTATTTTGGGAACACCTAGAATTAATGGATCCTTTCCCTAAGGCTAAGGATAATGTGGAAATAAAACTGAATTGGTAAATAGCTTCCAGTTAATCTCTGCCTTAAATTTGAGAAGTGGAATGACAAATAGTGGACCCTAAAGTTTACAAAGTTAACTTAGAGCAGTGGTCAGCAAAACTGGATTTGTCAAAAATTGGATTTGTATTTAGTTGTCCATTTTACTTCATTCTGCTTTGCTCATTTGGTTGTGGGTCGCTTTTTTAGATTAATAGACATAATCTTTATAACTTCTATATTAGAATGTTCCAGAGAAACAGAACCATTAGGAGAGAGAAATAAACATGTGCATGCATGTGTGTATATAAAGAAATTACGAGGAATTGGCTCACTGTTATTTCTGAATAGCTTGTTTTCATCCAAATTTTTTTCTATTCATATTTAAAGATATAGAAAGCTGAATATCTTTAAGAACATAGATTAGGTGGGGGGGAGGCCCCCAATAATATCTTTAGATGTATTCTATGCAAAAAGTTGTCACATGTGAAGAAATAATTTGATCACCCTGAAAGTTGTTCATTAAGAGGAAACAGTGACTAATGGCAAGTGTCCTCTACACAGGCACATACACACACACACCCCCCAATCTATTTTGGAAGCCAGCTGAAGAGCAAATTGCTAGAGTGTGCTGTTAAGGAAGCAAGATCGCTGTGAAAAGGGATAGGGTCCCAGCATTTACAGATTTAAGAAGCTCCACAGACAATTAGTTAATAAAACATTGCTCTTTTAGGGAGTAACTGAATTGGGAGCTGAAAGAATGAGGTTTTGGTTGATAGCAGTTTTTGAATTTAAGTTTTCTCAGGTAAAGCCACTCTGGTGACAGGATTCAGAGTATTTATAGCTATGGAAGTGGAGTGAAGATTAAAGCGATGAGAGTTGCAAGTTGAAGGACAAGGTTATGGGAAAACTTTCCATGGAAAGACACTTTTAATGTCAAAGTCAGTAGATAAGGAATGACTGTGAAGTCTCTGGGTAGAAAAAAGGAGAAGGAGTAGAAGGTTGTTACATCAAGAATGCATGCCATTTATAGTTGCACCAAAAATACAATACCTAGGAATACACTTAACCAAAGAGGTGGAAGGTCTTTATTCTGAAAACTGTAACATTGATAGAAATTGAAGACACAAACAAATGGAAAGATACCGCATGCCCATGGATTGGAAGAACAAATACTGTTAAAATGTCCATACTACCCAAAGAAATCTACAGATTTGATGCAATCCCTATCAAAATACCAACAGCATTTTTCACAGAACTAGATCAAATAATCCTAAAGTTTGTATGGAACCACAAAAGACCCTAAATAGCCAGACAATCTTGAAAAAGAAGAACAAAACTGGTATCACAATCTCAGATTTCAAGATATAGTACAAAGCTATAGTAATCAAAATAATGGGGTACTGATAAAAAAAAACAACACGTAATGGGATAGAGAGCCCAGAAATAAACTCATGATTACATTGTCAATATTTGACAAAAGAAGCAAGAATATGCAATGGGGAAAAGAACAGTCTCCTCAACAAATGGTGCTGGGAAAATTGGACAGCCATAATGCAAAAGAATGGAACTGAACCACTTGTACACAAAAACTCAAAATTGATCAACCTAAAATTGTTCTAACCTAAATGTGAGAACTGAAACCATAAAAACTCCATTATTAAGAGGATACCAAAATAAAAAGCTTCTGCACTGCAAAGGAAATAAAACTAAAAGACAACTTACTGAATAGGAAAAAATACTTATAAATGATATCCAATAAAGGATTAGTATCCAAAATATATAAAGAACTTCTTTAACAACACCAGAAAGCCAAGTGATCCAATTAAAAATGGGCAGAAGACATGAACAGACATTTCTTCAAAGAAGACCCACAGATGGCCAAGATGAGATACCACCTCACACCTGTCAGAATGGCTAAACTAAAAAACACAAGTGTTGGCAAGGGTGTGGAGAAAAGAGAACACTTGTGCACTGTTGGTGGGAATGCAAACTGGTACAGCCAGCATGGAGGATCCTTAAAAAAAAAAAAAAAATAGAACTACCATATGATTCAGTAATTCTATTACTGGGTATTTACCCAAAGAATACAAAAACACTAATTTAAAAGATTTATGTACCCTTATGTTTACTGCAGCATTATTGACAATAGCCAAATTATGGAAGCAGCCCACAATTCCTTCTATAGATGAGTGGATAAAGAAGACATTATATAATACATGTAATGGAAAGTTACTCAGAAAAAAGAATGAAACTTTGCCATTTTCAACTGGATGGATGGTTGAAAAGAATATGATGCTAAGTGAAGGAAGTCAGAGAAAGATTAAATGCCATATGATTTCACTTGTATGTGGAATGTAAGAAACAAAACAAATGAACAAAAAAGACCAAAACAAAAGAAACCCACCAGATTCTTAAGTATAAACAAACTGATGGTTGCCAGAGGAAAGGTAGGTGGGCAGATGGGTGAAATAGATGAAAGGGATTAAGAGTACACTTATGATGAGCACTGAGTAATGTATAGAATTGTTGAATCACTATATCCCTGAAACTAATATAACACTATGTTAACTTCTGGAATTATTTTTCTTTTAATTAAAAAGGGAGTGGGTTTTTATATGAGGATGGAAGAGTAGTGATCTAGAAGTGACATTAGAGGTGGAGAGAATTCTTGACCCTTCTGACCCAAAGAGGCAGGGAGTTGTGTAAAGAAACCAGAGAACAAAAACCATCCCCAGCTCACTTCCATCCCCACCCCTTCAGTCTGTGAGAGACAGAAAACTAAGAATTCTGGCTGGGAAAGAACAAAGAAAGCCACCAAGGCAGGGAATAGACACTGTTGAGTGTCTGAGACCTGCAACTTGTTCCCCACAACCTGTCTTAGGCTGAGCACAAAAGTGGGAGTAAAGAATTTGCCATACTCCATGACTTAATTGGCGGAATTCTTCCATATTAAACTTTTTAAATAAACTATAGGGTTTTTTGAAAGTGATGAACCTATTTAGCATTTCTTACAAATCACTTTGTACATAATAAACCCTCAATTGTTATTAATTGAATTAATTCCTCAAAATGCTTCAAATTCTCTTTTCACCTACTAATCTGGGTTGTTCTTGACACTAAACAGGTACCAATCAAATGTGCTACTTACTACACTTAATGTTCATTTCAAACAATTAAATTCTAAATTGTCCCCATGCTTAAAATATCTCCCAATACAGTCTTTCCAAACTTCCAGAATCTCCCTTCTCTCTTTTAAAACCCACTCTTTAATTGAAGACTTGACTTATTTCCAGCATGTTAACTAATGAACCATTCCACCGTTTTATACAAACTAAATGTAGCAACCATGGGATCAAAGTTTTTTTCTATTTTTCCCACAAATGATCAAGTTTCCATAAGTATGCTGGTAAGCAGCAACCCAATGAAACAAGCATTTACCAAGTATGATTTTTATGCTTAAAAAAAAAAATCTTTGAAAGAGTATCCTACGGATATAACCGGTATGTATATAGTGACCACTACCATGGGTCACTCTTCTCAACACTAAAGATGAAGCAATAAGCAGAATAAAGAAATTCTTTACCAGAGTACTTGTGCTGATTTGTGTCAGAAAATGTCCCATGCTCACACTTCTTAAATTGATTCAGGCTATGGAAAATGTAACAGAGAAGTCAGAGGTAAAGGCAGCCCATCTTTCTACTCAAAGATGGATGGGAGCCAGGGATAATACTAAAGCACAGACATATCAGGAGCAGAATGCAAAATTTGTGATTACAAATATAAGCATGAAACTTCAATCAGTTGTAAGCAGCTTTGTGTCCACGGACAGTCTGCAGATTTGGCAAAACAAAGAATAATCTGTACTGGAAACTCAGTTCAGGCCCTGCCTTCTCAAAGGCTGCTCCTCAGGCACTCCAACCAGAGCCTGTAGTATGCAGTAAACTTGAAGAAAGGCACTGCCATTCTTGAATTCCGCATTTCCCTAACAAGGGATAAGAGTAAAGTAAACATCAGGCCTGGGTCAGTGTTTTAAAAAAGCACCAAGGCCAACAGTCCCTACTCCCTTACAGTCAGCCATGTAGCTGGTACACATCCTCCTTCCACCTGGAAAAAGGAATGGGGCCCCAGCTTTTGGGCCTTGAGAGGAGCTTTAGAACACCGTCTTTCCAGGACAATGAGACCTCTACGTTTTAGCTACACTCGGTGGCGGCGGAGCCTGTGTCCCATTCCTGCACTAGGACCGTGAGCCATCCTCCGCCCCCCCGGGCCATGCCCTGCGACGTCACTGCGAGGCGCCGGGGAGCCGGCGACTGTGAGTACACCATGACAACAGCCCGTGGCAATACCCGCCTCCCCAGCTTCTGGATGTCCCTTCAGGTCTTGTGGTCTTAGCTGTAAAAGACGAAGAGCCTGGGGGCGTTTCTGATCCCACAGTATGGAGGAAGGGAGAGGCGATAACTTCGAGGGTGTGAGCACCGACCCCCTTAAAATGGAGTTACTGGAAGAAATCCGTTTGAAGTGAGTTGGAGGGCGGCGCGCGGGCTACCGCGCGGGTGTCTGGTTCAGGTACACGCCGCCTGAGGAGAAGCCCATGTGTGTGCCCTGCTGTTAAAAGCTGGAGCCACTGAGGTCGATGTGACGCCAGCAATGTGATTAATACCCCGGGAGTCTGGCGACTTGTAGACACTGTTTTGTAGGAAAGATTCATTTGCCTCTTTGACTAAGTGTTTGGCAATAAAATAAAATAAAAATAGGCAGATTATGAGGTAGGATCTTCTGTCTTTAGCATCAGGTCAAATGGAGTGTATGGTGTGCATATACTGTAATGCTAAAATATGTCTTTGATTTTCATGTTCCGCTAAATTGAGCTTTTCTGTTTCAGAGAAACAAAGGTTTTGTTTAGTTATGCTTGTCTTAATATCCCTGGAGGAGAACTTATGAAACGGTGACATTTTGTAAAAATAATGCTCCTCCTGTGTACTTTTAAAAAATACTCAATATCATAGTTTTTATTAAATCTTTGAGACATTTTAAGTGTTTTGTTTTTTTGTTTTTTGGGGGGTTTTTCTGATACCCACAGTCTCACCAGCAGGCCCCATGAGATTTATACTCACCTCTGTGCCCCTAAAGCTTCCTGTGCTTTCCTCTGTTGTAGCTCTAACAACACTTGTTTAATTGCTTGGTTATTTCTTGGCCTAATATTAAGCTGTGAGCATTCTGAGAATGCTTACATTCTGAGAATGTTTACATTCTGAGAATGTTCCCTGAGTCAGTAGAGTATAAAAGAAAGCACTTTAGAGGAATCCTGCATAAATTTAAATTGCAGCTCTTACCACTGAGTAACTACATGATCTTGGGCTAGTTAATGAACCACTAACTTCAGTTTACTCAACTCTAAGATTGGTTTGCAAATCATTATGCCCCATGTGGTTGTTGCCAGGATTGAATGAAAAGTGTGTAAAGCACTTAACATCAGCTTATAATAAGCACTCGATGGATGTTAGCCACTGTTAGTGTCATTGTTCAGTTCATTCAGGCACTGTAGTATTTGCAGCATTTATCACAATGCCTTGACATAATAGGCAATCAAAAGTACATATTGCATAAATGATTCTGCCATATTTTGATAATTAATGTGCTATTTTACTGATGTCCTAAGTAGATAATTTCTGGAATGCTATTTGTGTGTATGTGGGTTTTTTTTAAATTATTAATTTTTTTAATTTTTAATTTATATATATTTATATTTTATTTATTTTTTATTAGTTCTTCTTTTACTCTTTGTTTCAGATTTTCAGTTACCTGTTGCCCTAGCTATTCCATTCTCTCATCCCAGTTAATTTTTTAGGCCTTGAGAAACCAGATAACAACTTCTTGGGATCATATTTAAGTTAAGAGTAAAGGGTTTCTAAAGGTCACCAGGGGGCTTCTGAGCTTTAGTGCATATTAGGGTCTCTATGGACCTTGGTAATCAGAAGTCTCCATTTGCCTGATTTCGGATTCTCAACCATGCCTTCAATAAGTGATGTTTCATAATAAATTGTTCCTAAAGTAGTGGTGTGTTATTATGTGTTATTATTTATATATTATAATTGGATCATAACAAGATATTTTTAATAATAGGGATATAGTGCAACTATCAATGCTTGAAATAAGACACAAGATAGCGGAACTGGAAGCCAAACTCAATACTGATGATGAAGGTATATAAGTAAATATTTTTATATGTGGCTCTTATATAATTATTGTTTATTTTGCCAAGATACTTACAGTGCATTAAATACATAGGAAATAATAGTACCAAGGTTTCAGTACTGCTTTTTGGCAGCATTAATAATAATTTATTATAGAGACTTTTTAAAACTAATAATTCAGTATCAAACCTGTTAATGCATAATTATTCATCTACTTACAAGTTCAAAATGTTCATTCAACAGTTAGTAAAACCTTTATTACATGACATCAATACATTATTGTTTTTGGTAAATAACAAAATGCCACAAGTTTTCTATTTAACTCAAGTAATACCCTTTGAATCTTAACTTCTGGATTTGGCTATAACTTGAAAATCTTTAGCTAGGTTTTGGCTATTTGCGTTGGAAGAAAGGTGGGGGTAGGGTGTGTGGTGAGTGTTGTGCACACACACACACACACCCGCATACCCACATATCCATATAACCTTAAAATTTATAATGTATGTAAGATCTTAATTCATTCTACAAATATCGAGACCCTGCCATGTGTCAACACTTTGAATGGAAGACCTTTCCCTATTTTGAAGAGGTTCATTGACTATAGGGAGAAAGTATCAAACAAAATGTGAATATTAGAAGAGATGTAAGGAGAAATGGAAACTTAGTTAAGGAAACCTAACACAACTTGGGTGAAGACATAAAGGCAGCCTTTCCAGAGGAGGCAGTGTTTGAACTGAATGCTAAAGGAGTTTCTTAGGTTAAGGTGGTAGAGGTTTGTTTTGTTTTGTTTTAAGATTTTATTTATTTGAGAGAGAGAGAGAAAGACAGAGATAGCAAAGAGAGCATGAGTGGGGAGGAGAGGGAGAAGCAGGCTCCCCACTGAGCAGGAAGTCTGATGTGGGGCTCTGTCCCAGGACCCTGGCATCATGACCTGAGCTATAAAGGCAGAGGCTTAATCACCTGAGGCACCCAAGTACCCCTGGACTTTGGTTCTTAAATCCATTTATACTTTTCTGTTGGGGAAGCCATGAACAAACACAGTTAGTAATCATATGATAAATAAAATGCTATTTTTCTTAAGTACCCAATGCTCTCTTAAAGCTTGATTGGAGAACACTACTTTGTCCTAAGGCTGAAGTAGCTCCCTATGTCTCCACATCTATATCTGGGATATATATAACTGGCTTTGGTGGGGAGACTGTGAGTGCACTTACCAAATAGTTGAATTGGCAAGACTAGCTGGAATTTTCTCATCTATCCAGTTACAGACAAAACAGGTCACATGCACAGCAATGCAGGTTACACTCACAGATACACATGCAATTCAATAACCATGCCCATTAGTAAAATGTAAGCCCAACAAATGGTATCAGTAAATCTTACGGGGAGGAACTGGTATGTGCGTATAAAAAGAAAAGGTAAAATGATGGACAAGTAAGTTATTTCCTCCATGGGCCAAAGCTAAACTCTAAGGTGAAGGGGTCAGAAATATATACCCCTTCTTTAAATAAAGCCAGGAACTATGTCAGGTAAGGTCCTTATTATTATCCCCATTGATGGAAATATGGATTTTAGGAATTTAAGTAACTTGCTAAGATTATATAGCATATCATTTCTTCCTAAATTATCTATCCGCCAGTACCACTATTCCTCTGACAACTGCTGTCTACCACATCAGCATTGAACAGTTCTAGTTATCTATTGCTGCAGAGCAAACCACCTAATAACTTTGGAGCTTGAATTAGCAAATTATCTCACAATTTTGTGGATTGACTGGGTTCACTTGAGAAGTTAGTAACTGGGGTTTCATGTGATTACAGTCAGATGTCTGGAGCACAGTTATCTGAAGGTTCAACTGGGATGGACATTCCCAAATGACTTACTCACATAGCCAGCATTTGTTACTGGCTGTTGGCTGGGAGTCTGGCAGGGTACTGCCTATCAGAGATACCTACTCCTGGCTCTTGTAGCTTTTGCTTCTCACAGATGGTGCCTGGGTTCCAAGAAAATGTATCTCAACAGCAAGCATTTCAAAAGGCACAAGTGACAGAAACTGCCAGGCCAGTTAAGGACTGCTCCCAGAACTGGTACAATATCGATTCCACTATCTTCTATTGGTCAAAACAGTCACAGATTCAAGGGGCTGTAGAAGGAAACTCTACTTATCAAGTTGACAGTACAGAAGAATATAGGGGATGGTATATATTATTTCAGTCGTCTTTGGAAAATACAATCTGTCACAGGGGGCATTAAACATAATGCCATTTGAGGAGAACTGTTATGTAATTGATAAAGATGGAATAGAGATTGTCCTGAAAATATGACAGGAGATGAGATTAAGGTTTATGAAGAAGACAAATGAAGAATAGTCTTTGATATGATGCTAATTCGTTTGTATTGATCCTGAAGCCAATAGGGCAATATTAAACGTGTTCTAAAATTAACTTTTTAGGGCGCGTGGGTGGCTCAGTTGGTTAAGACTGCTTTCGGCTCAGGTCATGATCCCAGAATCTCGGGATTGAGTCCTGCATCAGGTTCCCTGCTCAGCAAGGAGTCTGCTTCTCCTTCTGACCTTCCCCCTCTCATGTTCTCTCTCAATGTCTCTCTGTCAAATAAATAAATAAAATCTTTAAAAAATAATAATAAAATTTTTACTTTTTTTAAGACTTGATTTGAGAGAGAGATCACAAGCAGGGGGAGCAGCAGAGGGAAAGGAAGAAACAGACTTCCTGCTGAACAGGGAGCCGGTTGTGGGGCTCAATCTCAAGACCCTGGGATCATGATCTGAGCTGAAGGCAGACGCTTAACCAACTGAGCCACCCAGGCACCCAATTTATTACTTTTCATATTATAAAAGAAATAGTGCCCAAGGGGCCACTCTGGGTACATTTGTTTAGATGATTCTTTCATACTTACCACTGTCCCCAAATCTCCATCACCCCTCTCCCCATCTCCTTATCAGCTAATGAGCTTACTTTCAAAGAGAAAAGAGAAACAATCAGAAGATTTCCACAGGTTTCTACCAAGAAAGCTACCCACCTGCCTGTATCTTTGCACATCCTCTTCCTTCCCTCCTGTTCTTCTGCATGTTCTTATCTAAGGTGACTCCTCCACTTGTGTGACAGATCCTAACTACTCTGCCTACCAAGCACATTACTCCTAAGCGTTTGTCCTCTCTCTTTGCGCTGTTTCCCTGCTCCACTGGATCTTTTCCAAGAGCATACAGATGGGCTTAATTTATTTTGTTGAGAAAACAAATGACAAAGCTCCTTTGGCCCCACATTTCCTCTTCTTCTGTCATCTTTCACTGCTCTATGTGCAGCAGAACTCTTCAAGAGTGGTTACTGTTTTTACTCTGACCTGCTTATCTTATACTTCTTTAGTCTATCTGGATTATAACTATTAATTTTTAGGCTAAATGGCAAATAAACTTCAAAGGGCTTCACATTTCTATAGTGGCCTCTCGAAGCCCTTTAGGGTTCATAGGAAACTATATGCAGAAAAAGTGGTTTATATTTTAGTATATATGCTGCTGAGGTGAGCACAAAAGTGGTTTATGTTTTGATTAAATCTGAAGTTCATCTTAAAGCTCAGTGAAAAGACAAAGAGCAGGAAAGGATGTTCAGGTGGCTTTTTTAAAAAAAAGTGAGAAGAATCAGCATTTATGTAGAGCTCTAAGTGTATTTTAAAAATTGAAACTTATTATTAGCCCATTTTATAGATGAAAAGGCTGAGACTTACGTATCTCTCTCAAGGCTACAGAAGTGGTGAGTGATCTGCATTTGAATCTAGTCATTCTGGCATCAAAGCCCACACTCTTAGCCTCTTGTTCCACCTCTTATGCTTATTTGTTTCTCAGTATTTTTTCATCTAGAGAAGAGAAACTTGATTTATGGAGGCTCTGGAGCATTTGTTCATCTAGGGTTAAAAATGGGCTGGATTTACTCAGCACAGGCAGTTTTGTTCTCTCCTGAACTCATGCACCCACTACTTAGGTGATCTCCTCTGATCATATGCTACTAAATCCCAGCTGTATACTGACAACACAAAAATTTACATCTAAATCTAGGACCTGTCCTTTGAGCTCTTTCAAATATTTATTTATAGGTTGGTTTCTATCCACAAGCCACTTTGGCTATTAACTAATATATTCACAAATCAAATAGTTTTCTAACTCATCTCAGTAAATGCTAAAAAAATATTTTGATGAAATTCAATTTATATTCCTTTTTTTTTAAACAGAAGAACACTTCTATTTATCTTAAACTGGTCTAATACTTAGTGATGAAACATTAGAGGCATTCCTATTCCTGGGGAAAAAAACAAAAAACACCCAAAAAAACACAGAGATGCCAACTGCCACCATTAAAATTTAATATTTTTGAAAGTTTCAGTCAAGCAATAAAATATGAACAGACATAAGAGTTGTAGATTTTAGATAGGAAGAGATAAAATTATTATAATTTTTAGCTTTTATAATCTGATATCCAGAATTTTCCAGAGATCAGTTGAAAAACTGTATTAGTAAAGAATTAAGAAGTGGTTTAATGCAGTAATGGAAGAAATGCTTATTTAAGGGGAAAAAAAATCCACCAGCAAAAATCAGTTCAAAAATAGGATTTTTAAATGATTATGCTCCCAATTTCAGCCCAAACTATAAAATATCTGATAATATCCTTGATAAGAAATATTCAGAACTTATATGAAGGACAGCAGAAGACTATGACTGTAAGGCAGTAATAACAGTTTAACCAGAATTCTCACCTTTTTCAATATAAGAGATTTTACACTAGAAAGAAACCCAGGAATAAAATGAAATTGGGAAAGTTTGTAGCCTTAGCACATGCCTTGCTGAGTCCAAGATCAAGATGTTGGCAAGGTTGGTTTCTTTTATGTCCTCTCTCCTTGGCCTGTAGATGCCATCATCCTGTGTCTTCTCATGGTCTTCCTTCTGTATGTTTGTTCTAATCTCTTCTTCTAAAACCAGTCATACTGGATTATGGCTATCC